TATTGAGCATCGTAGTTTAGCTATCAATGAAGAATTTGTCTACATTTTCAAACAAGTGAAAGAGGTATAGAAAAAATGGAAAAAAAATGAATCGTTCTCCAGATAAACTCATCTGGTAGCTGCTGTGCTGCAGGTTGTTATACAATCTACTGTTTTTCTTATGCATAATTTAATATTTTCGTCAAGTTTTTTTTATTGTCTGTTTAGAAAATACAGTTTAATGAAACAATGTGTACATTATTTGACAAATTTATTCATATAATCAAATTAAAAGATATAAGATGAAATTATGTTTGAGCAGGAGCTCTCTTTTCTCTAATAGGACACCCATCTCTTTTTCTCCTCCCATAATTTCTCCCACTTGTTCTGGAGGTTCCCCAACTTTCTGGAGCAAGTTTCAAGGGCTTTAGATGGCAAGGGAAACTTTTCAATTCTGCTGACAGAAGTAATCTGGGATTTGTGGAGAGAAATAGTTAATGCTCCGAAAATAGTACTGAGTTGAATCCAAAATACTAATGGCTCTTATTATTTATTGATTTAAACAAATGTATTATATTTTTTCTAAAACCTTGTTTTAAGGTATAAAAGGAAAATTTCTCTCAGTAACTAATCCCAGTATATGTTATTTGAACAGATAGTAGGGAGGATAAAGCAGCCAGGATCTTTGGTCTTACTATCTGGGAAATAAGAGGCTGATGGCTGCCACACATCTGGAATGTATCAGGTTGGGGAAATCTGGCTTCAGATTAACTGTGGCACTAGCCTAAACTTTTAGGTTGATAGCTCATAGCCCAACACTTACAACTCATATGCTGACATACAAAAATCCAAATAAAGAGGACACCAGGAGAATAAATTATAGAGAGAGTTGTACTAATAATTCATATTCTAAAATGGAAAAAAATGTGCCAGTGAAACAGAAAATTGCTAGTATGATCCCACATATTCATGGATGGAGAGAATGAAAATGGTTAGAGAGAATAAAAAAAGTAGAGAGTAAGAAAGGGACAGGCTGATAGAGTTCTGAAATCTAAAGAACACCAGAAAAATATTTAGTATCATTCTTTTTTCATTGGACAGTTTTATTTTGTTCAGCTTCCATTAACATTATTACAATGTCCACCAAAAGCTGCATTTTCAAAGATTTTTGAAGCCTGCAGTGTTCTTATTTCAGGCTGCAAAGTCTGTATAAGATAGAAAAACATTTCTTCAGTTATATATTTGAATATCCAGGGGTTGTTGCACCAACATGGGAATCCAAAAGTCATACTTCATGGGAAAAAATTAAGCAAACTGCTGATTGCTGATTATTGTTTCTTATTAATGTACAGTAGAACTGTAGGAAATGTGCTGGTTGAAAAAACTGTCAAAATAATTTGAGGAGATGGGTTCAGGAAAAAGTATGCAAAATCCAAATATAATATTGGCCCATCCCACTCATTCTGGCAGAAGGGACCCCCATCAGCCAAGGAATTTTGGCTGGAGGAGTCCAGGAGAAGAGGCTTTTTTTGCCACGACCCCTGCCCTTTGGAACATCTTGCTACTTGAGGTGAGATCCGGCCCTACCTTTCTGGCCTTCAGGAAGAGCCTTAAAACCTGGCCATGCCGGTTGGCATGAGGCTCTGATGGAGAAACTGTAGGCGGTTGGTGCAGTGACAAAGAAGGCCTCATTGCTGCTCTGTTCAAAACCCATGGTCTTTTAGTCTGTATTTAATCTTTAGTTATTTTAATCTGTTTTTTACATTCATAATTTTTCATATCTTTATATTTTATTATATTGCAAGCTGCCTAGAGTCACCTCAAATGGGTGAAATGGGCGGCATATAAATTTAATAAATAAATATTTTAGGCCACCTGTTATAATGTCTATTTCCATGCAATTTCAGGAGCTTGAAAACATAAATGAAGATGTGCAGTTCATGAGCAATTGCTGCCAGGATATGACTAATCACTTGAAGGTATTGTGCATGTGATGGGGAAAGTGCACATTTTTTTCCTCTGGAAATGTTACTTGCAAGCAATACGACACCACACAGCATTTTTTTTTTATGGCACTGTAAAGGTTGTTCATGAACAGAGGTGCTAAAAGATTTGCGTGAAAAGAAATATTGATGAATTTTTTTGAAGCAGATCTATAATGTATCTGAGTCTGTCCCAGAGTAGTCTTCTCTTTAGCCTGGCAATATTGAATTTGTTCCCAGTTCAAATGTTAAGAAAGCAATATACGTGCAATCATTGTTTTTTTAAAAAATGCTGCAGCCTGTGTCCCAGTCAGTGAGAAGAAACAGGAAATTTTAGACTCTTTAAAGTGCTCTTCTATTCATTCTTACGTATTTAAGTAATACGGTATATAGTATATTTAAGAGTAAAACTATGTCCTTAATAGCAACTCATTTTAATTATCCATATATGTCTTCCAGGCCACTAAGGAGCAAACTCAGGATTTAATTGTCAAAACGACAAAGCTTCAAGCAGAGAGGTAAACGTTTTCCCCTTAAGATAAATGAGAATTGTTTTGTGGATTCCATCGTTCACTTTTATTCTGAATAATAATCTTAGAGCTACTTTACTGTGCTTTATTAGGTACAGCTTTCTCTATTCCTAGAGAAATAATTTCCACTGTATGCTTTGGTAAGACGTTAGTGCATCCTGAAAATCTACTAGCTCTGTTTTTATATCTGATATTTAGGTAATAGGTTTAAAAATGGATGTCATATGAGAAGGAAATAAAAAGAACAGATTGGTTTCAAAATTTCATTTACTAACTGCATTTCAAAATTGCACAGAAGATGAACCTGCGTGAAGAATAGAGAAAAATTAATAAAATACAAGGATGTCAAATTCTAAAATTTAAAACTGGCATTAAAGCAATTCTGGAATAAACCCAAAATATAAGCCAGCAATTATGCAGTTATATAAAATGTGATTTATAGCAGTGTTATTGTATATTGCAGAAGTGGCAAACCTATGGCACGGGTGCCAGAGGCGGCACTCAGAGCCCTCTCTGTGGGCACGTGCGCAGTTGCCCCAGTCCTAGGCCTTCAGCTGGGTTTTATAAAACCTTTTCGCTTTAGGCCTCCGCTGCCATGTGCAAAAAAAAAAGGTTCACTCAATCAGTCAATTTCAACTTCTCGCGGGAAAAAAAAAGACCTTGCAAAATTGGAATTGATTGATTGAACTTTTTAATCCCACCCAGTCTGCCGTTACCACCACAGCCCCGCCCAGCCAATGGGCCACACCCCCAAAATTGGCCACACCCAGCCAATGGGTCACACCCACCCGGCATCCAACGATGCATAAGTGGGTTTTGGGTTGCAGTTTGGGCATTCGGTCTCTAAAAGGTTCACCATCACTGGTATATAGAAAGAATAAAAATAATTTAATATTCAATGAAAAGGCCACAATGCAAGTTTCAAGTAGGCTTTTCTGGGAGAGGAATTTGATTCTATTCTGCTATAGAGTATATATAAATTGTGCTTTACTGGATTTTTTAAATCTGAAAATAATGTACAAAGTATGTTCTGATACAAAGTCCTCCATTTATTGGCCCTGACCCTTCCAATAACATGGCTTTTGCATTTTTAAGTACAAATACACGTGGTAAATGCTTGTTGTGAGTGGTTCAAAAATTGTGATTTTTTTTTAATGAAACCAGTAATTAGATATAAACTTGAGGCTGGTTGAACAATCACAAACTGTCGAGTATTTCCAGACATTTAGTTTATTAATCAGCTGCTTTCTCCTGTTTGTTCATGGATTCCTTCCTTGTTGTTCATGTGTGCCGTTCTAAGAGACATACATGTATATTCTGAATTGCTGTATACCATTTTTAAGTGGATAAAATGTCCGTATTCTGGATGTCTATGTCTCTTTTAACAAATGATAACATTAAAAGTTTTTTTTTTGGAACTTATTTCATGTTAAAAAACACTTTCGAAAACAGAAGCCATCATTTGACATCAGATCCTGATGATTTGAACTCCGCTTCTGAACCCTTGGAAGAGTTCTTTTCCGAGCCCAGAGGAGAGGTGACAGGCTCTCGTGGGGTACAAAAATGGAGCTCGGTTCCGGATGAATTTAAATCCTGTTTCTGTACCCCTTGGGAGAAATTCCCTTCCGTGCGCAAAGGAGAGATGACATCCTTCTGCGGATTGCAGAACTCAGGCTCACATTCTGATGAGTTCTGTTTCTGTACCCCACTGAAGGAGAGTTCCCTCCCATAAACAATAGGCAACATGAAAGGTAGAGCTGCAAAAGTAAGCAGCGCAGTGTGCCTTGGGGCGGGGGAGGCCCGGTGAGGCCTGGCACAGGCCACATAAAAGTATCTCTTCCCCCCCAGAAGCTAAAAAATCAGAAGCTGGGCCTCCCCTCCCCAAGACAGTGCATGCTTCTTATTTGGGACTTGCACTTAACAACCTAAGGATCATTTAACAACCGCAGACGGGACTGCTGGATTTGAAGTCACTGAGTGAAGCAGCCACACGGGCAGTTAAGGGAGATGACACAGACTACTTGTGTCATCTCGCTTAACAACCACTTGGCTCAACCAAGATTCTGGGTTCAGTTTTGGTTTCAAGTCAAAGACTACCCGTATAACCTCCTACTCTCCCTTATGTCCATCTCCTTTTTCTTCCTCTGTTCCGAAGAGGAAAGTGCACTGTCTAAGACAAGGGTAGGCAACCTTGGCTCTTTTATGACTCGTGGACTTCAACTCCCAGAATTCCTGGGTCAGCATGGCTCAGCTTGGAAACCTCTCTCTTTCCCCTCAGCATGGCTGGCTCAGGAATTCTGGGAGTTGAAGTCCACGAGTCATAAAAGAGCCAAGGTTGCCCACCCCTGGTCTAAGACTTTCCTGCTTGAATGGCTGCCACCTCCTAAGCCTATGCGAAATAAATTATAATGGTCATGAACTGAATCAATTTTTTTTTATATTGCAGCCAAAGGTTAGAATTAAAAGCACACATAGCAGATGCCTTCATAGCAGAATTCCAACTTTCTCCAGAGGAGATGAACGTCCTTCGAAGCACCAGAGATCGGCCAGTTACTGAAGTAAGCACTCTAAAATACATACGGTGACCTCCTTTGGTATATTGAATAAAAAGACTTCCTTTTCTGATCACCATTTTCTCTTTGGATAATAGGAATAATTGTGCTACTTGCAGTAAAACTTTCCATAGCAGACATATAAGGGTGGGATTTTTTTTTTAAATCTATCCATTGCAAAGATTCTGGCTAGAAGAGCCTACATAAAAGAATCTTCTGTAATCCAGAGATGGGAGTAGTTAGGAGACAAAGAAATGTTCATAACATGAGAACTGATTATAATCATTTGTGAACAGGAGGGTCATGACTGATATTCGCAATGTCCAGTGTGGAAGTGGTGAAAATAGCTTGATACTATATAATACTGTTTAGTTGTATCCTTGGAAATCATTGTTTAGATTGTAATTGCCTACTGTGTAATTGCCCACCTGGGTGATATTGTTCCATGTTTCTTCTCTTTCCTGTTGCTAGTCCATTGTATCTATTAAAATAATCAGCTTCAAACAGAGGCTGTTATCAAAACAAAGGGAAACTGCTTTCCCTAGCAAACAGCAATAAAATGTTATGGGATGCTTAATCTTTAGTCACAGTAGCAAATAATATGGCACAAAACAAGTATGCTGTACAGCAATCTTTATTTCACACTACAAAACTCTGGCTCAGTATAGCCTATTTCAGTGATGGCGAACCTTTTAGAGACCGAGTGCCCAAACTGCAACCCAAAACCCACTTATGCATCATCGGATGGCGGGTGTGTGTGGCCCATTGGGGGTGTGTGGCCAATTGGGGTGTGTGGCTCATTGGGTGGGCGTGGCTGCAGTGGTAATGGCAGACTGGGTGGGAGTTCAATCAATCAATTCCAACTTTGCAAGTTGAAATTGACTGATTGATTGAACCTTTTTTTTGCACACGGTAGTGGAGGCCTAAAGCGAAAAGGTTTTATAAAACCCAGCTGAAGGCCTAGGACTAGGGCGACAGCCCGTGTGCCCACAGAGAGGGCTCTGAGTGCCGCCTCTGGCACCCGTGCCATAAGTTTGCCACCACTGGCCTATTTGGAATACAATACTGAATAAGTTTGGAATGGGTGAAGTCAGTTTACTTTGGTTTCTAAATTATATGTTTTTGAATGATAGTTCTGAATTCACAGTCATCCAATATACAATGAGATGGTGTCTTCCTTATAGTCCCTCATGTTTGAAGAGTCTGTTTCCAAAGGGAGCAAAACCAATGAAGACCTAATGGCATTTGCCACTCATGAGTAGATTACAGAACTTGTATAGACAATTATAATGAAATACGGGACTCTGTCATACAGAATATATATATATATTTTAAATAACCATATAAATATAGTAGAAACATTTACATACTTGAATATTTGCATTAGACAAATATGGATAGAATTGTAACTATTATTATATTGACATACCAATGTAACATTTTTTTCTTATATTTCTTTTACTTTTTTTGTTAAGGTTTTATTGTTCTTTATTTTCTTCCCTTAGACAATATATATATATATATATATTGCCATCACTATGTTAAAAAAGGGAGCAAAACCAATATATTTTTATCACCATCTAAAGTAACATACATTAAACACAGTTCAGATCCTCTGTGTACAAAGCTGCTTCTCTCTATGCTATAAATGTACAAAATGTTTCAAGTTTAAACCCATTTTAATTTGTAATACCCCATTTTGAGTTTTAAATGCCATACTGCAAGCATGAAACAGCAGTCCCCAAATGTCCAGCCAGCTGGGGATGAATTCTGAAAGTTATAGTTCCAATATAAGTACCAGATGTGCTGCGGTATGATTATTTGAATGTACAATAGCTATGTAAACAAAGTTAGTTTGAATAAAATATCACAACTTTTAATTTTGCCCTTTTTTTATTAAAGGATTTTTTTAAAGTATTGAGGCGAATAAAGCAAATTCACAATGATGTCAAGATTCTTCTGCGCACCAGTCAACAAAGATCAGGGTGAGTTTACACTGTATAAAACAACTGGAACCATCAACTAAGTAAAACCTCATAAATTGAGTTGTTAACATATTGACGTTTATATTGGAAAATAAAAACGTGAAGACAAATGTAAACCCATACGGGCTTAGATGTTTTTGCTTCTTTTATTCACTTTTTGGTAAAGACTTTAAACATGTTAAACCTGCAGTTTGGAGATTATGGAACAGATGGCACTCCTCCAGGAGACGTCTTATGAACAGCTGTATCGTTGGGCACAAGGTATCATAATTATTTTATTTTTTTCATTTGAATATTCTTTCTTGTAGATCAGCGGCTCCCA